TAACTAAGTTTTGAAATAAACCATCGAATTGGAGATACGTCACTGAATCAAGCAATGCGATGGTTTTTCGTGTCACTGAAAGATACAAAATCTAAAATTCATCGTCGGTAACTGGGCCAAAGTTTGTTGACGCTTAAAATAGAGTAATACCCGGAAATATAATAGTTTCGCATTGTTAAGAATTTCCGTCACTTGTTCAAATGAAAGATGTTTTTAAACTCTTTTTTTATTCTCTTCTGCACAACTACATTAAATGAGAAATCGGTTCATGTACAAATAGTATTTATATGCACGTATAAAAATGAAATGTGTGTATGCTCTGCAAAAACTTGAATCGCTCGAGCAAAATTTTTCAGGAACGCTTTTCGGCAGGTGAGAAAAATAAACGGAGAGAAGTCGCGATCTCAAAATATTTTCCCGCTTTCTGATACTCCCCAAAATTGACCACTTACAATGTCGCAACCCGCAATACATCTAGACGCTGTTGTTGCCGGGAGAGAAGTGGAAGGGGCAGATCGGTGCCGATTGAGACTGCGGAAGCAGACGGGGAAAACAGCGGGAGGAGGAGGTACGAGGAGCGAAGAGAGCGGAGCGGACGAGAGGGGCAAGGGCGGTCGGAGCACATGAATTGGTGGGAGGGGGGGGCAGATGTAGTGGTGGAAAGGGGAAGATAGGGGGGATGGAGAGTGTGATACGTGCCAGGCTGATCGAGGGGGAGGGTTGTTATGTTGGAAGGGCCGGACTCAGCTGGTGGAGCGCTTTATCAGATGAAAGTAATAATATCCCGGACAGCGCTGGATAATCAGATAGCCAGTTGTTAAACCTTGAAATAGGGTAACGAACGCAGATATCTGCAACGAAATGCCTTTTCATTGCCACTGGATAATTGTGAAGTTTGTGGTGTTATTCCGAAAGTACATCTCCAAATTCCACTTACTTTTATTAAATTCGGCATACTGCTTGCACAGAGAATATTCATTTATTGTCGGGATTAGTTTGTCATATGTCCATTTACTTTTTGGTTGTTGGACAAAGCTCAAATCAACACACGCATTCGAAACGAACACACAGATTAATATTATGTACGTCAAGTTTTTTTTTTCTGAAAAGTTTTTTTAGTAGTGCTTATGAATTATCTAAGTGACTCTAAATCTTTTCATGTCGTGCAGCAAACGTGTGTCAGTGTTTGAATACGTTCGTCGATAACATCCCACAGTAATTTGCGCGTTCAGCGCAGTAGGACTTGAAGGCGAAAGAAGAACCCTGTCAGTACCGGCAGTGAATGTGGGGGGAAAAAGAATTAACACCATTGGCCCGGCGCTACACACCATGTGGACACTGTGCCGCCGCCGCCGCCGTCACGACCTGGCCCGGCGGGAGGAGCGCAGCCCGCGGGCCGATCGGGCCCCGGCAAACACGACGGCGCCGCCGGCAGACCGCAGTGGCTCATCGCTCGACGCGCACAATCAGCGGGCGAGTGGCGGACGATGTTCTGAAATTTTACCACACTCCGCGCGCGTGCGCGCAGTGCGAGTATTCCCACAGCAAATTGCACGGATGTGATCTGTGGATTCGTTCGTTTAATTTTTAATGCTGAAACGTTTTTGTGTTCTAAAAAATGGCGGTACAGGTTTGTTGTAGTGATTCAGTGTGTGATATCCTTCGGCTTCATAAGTGTGCTGGAATTGCGCGTTAGTATGCGTCTGTTGTTCCTGTGAGTCGACGTCGGTAAGTAATGAGCTTGCAGTTTTCGTTGAGTCGTAGAAGCACGTTCATGCGGTTTAGATCGTATTGCAGTATTGCCTTCCCGTAGGCCAGTTGTACCCAACGGTGTCAGTATCGACTCCACGGAGGTCGATGAAATTTTAAGGGGTCAATTGGGTGGTCGATACCCTAGTGTATATCGACCTTTATACTCGTATATGCATTATAATCGGTATAATGAAGATCAAGACCCAATTGGTTACAAAAAATATTTGAGTTTTATTATTTCTACTTATATAAAGCTTCAAAACACCTAATAATAAATTACAAAATCACTCATATTTTGTTGTTTCATATCATTCACATTAATAAAATAAAATTTTAGTGTCATGGTGATCGGTAATTAATGAAAACTTGTTTATATTTATAAGATTAAACAAAATAGCAGCACAAAAATAAATGTAACCATTTTTTACACACCTTGTTCATCTTGTTTGACTAATTGTTATCTTTAAGATATTTACGTGTAATTCTGTGTGTTGTGATTATGTATGCTGCATATTATACAAAAATTGAAGGGGGTCGATAAAGCAAACAATTCTTTTAAAAGGAGTCAATGCAAGAAAAAGGTTTGGAATCCCTACCCTACACTAATGAATGACTCTGAATTTTCTTTCCTTGAATATTAACGTGAATGTATATATGATTTGTTTTAACGTACGAGCATATTTGAGAAAGATATTGAAAGATAATTCAACAGTTCCATGGAAGTATAAATTCCTGTGAACCTATAATCTTCGCATAATGTCTGTCAGCTCTATTTGTTTCTGCGGTTAACATTTGACGAACGTTTTAATTTTATAAAACATTAATATAATCCCTCTTGCTATTGTAGTACCTTTGTCAACAAGACCTTTTAAAAACGAGAAAGTAGAAAGCGTATAAAACAGCTTCGTATTTTATTAATTGCGTTGTAAAGTTGGGTAGTAGTGTAGTTAGGTTTCTGTATCTCCTCTTATGGAGTCTCACTTACTTGGGTTTCTTCATCTCCATGGTCATTTTATAAACATTTTAGTTTAGTTTATTTGTCTACCCACTTCCTAACTAATAGAACTTTTCCCGTGAAACTTTACTTTCACTTAATAGCTCATAACTATTTTATATAATAGAACTCAGCACTTTCGTTGATCACAAAGATGGGATCCTGCGTTGAAAAGACGTAGGGAAACAATTCTAATCAACCATTGGTGACTCCAGCAATCTTAAGATTATGATGGCAATGGATGGTGAATTGTTTTATTTCTTATATGGTTTATTCTTGTGCCGAATTTTACCTTCGCTGGTCTATCTGCTCTTAATGAAAATTCCTGATCGTATCTCCTTTTGTAAGGGCGTCGTAGGTTTCTGCTTACGAGCCTCCATCGCTCTGTCCTGAGACAAGTCGGCAGGTGATTTACATTGCCAGCTTTCTCTCTGAGACGAGGTTCTTAGCAGCGATTATAATGCCACGGAAGGCTTGCTTCACGGCTGGAATTAGAAACCGACTTGAATTTTCTGCACAGGAGCAGAGCCGATGACTCGGCGCTACGCACCGCGGGTCGTGACCAGATTGCTTTCCCTGCTACGCGAGTTAAGCTTCATTATTATTATCAGCGCCGCTACGTGTGCACCTTAAGACTTCAACCTTCAATTAAGTCTTGCACACCACATCAGACAGGTGACGTTCGGATTCGTTCGTGTGATCTTGTCCACTCCCAGTCATGACGGTCAAATCGACACCCAAAAAACGTTACATTCAACGGGTTCATTTTATTATTTCCTCGCTTTTGCCTGCTGATATGGAAGGAACACCAAAATAAATTAGAGTAATATTTAGGGCCCATTAAACATTTTCATTAGTTATGACTTTGTTATAGTATTATGTTCTCGTGGTATTACATTTCTGGGAGTATTGAAGTAAAGTGGAAAATATTGACTTTTTCACTACTTCGTTCATGATTATATGTTGATATCGGTCACATTCACTTTTAACAGTCGTTGTGCTTTATTTGTTCACTGTTGGATTCACATAATGACTTTTTTATGTCTCACCCTCTTGCCAGCTGCCAGCTGTCACCACCTTTATATATCGCTGGAAATGTTCATATTAACGGAGTGAGAGATATTTCAAACATTTGCATATGTGTAATTTTTCAAAAACAAAACAATACAGCAAAATGGCTTTTATGTCATCTTAAAGAGTGCAATTAGCACTACTAATACGAAAAAGTATAAAAACGTGAAAAAAAATTGAACCTTTTTTAGGAAAGGGCGTTTGAGAGTTTCTGAAATTCCGGAATTTTGAGCTGTGTTTCACAGAAAAGGTTTGTTTCCGTGTAAACTTTATAAGAGATTATTTAAAGCCCACGTATTCATAAATGTTATACATGAATATAAACCACATATACTCATAAGTATAAATCATGTGAGAGGGTACTCAAAAAGTTTTGTAATCTTTGAAAAAACAAAAGACTAGAGCAAAATGGCGTTTGTCATCTCATAGAGTACATTTATCACTATCCCTACCAAAAGTTTAAAAAAAAATTCGAGCTGTTTATAATTTTGTATTGCACATTATTCGGGCAATATTGCGCGATAACTACTAATGTTCTTTTAAAAAATCTAAGTAACTAATGAAAGAACTAAGTATGGACAATAAATTTCATTTGAAGGAAAAATCTCTATTTTCAATTTTATAGAAAGGAGTCGAAAAACATTAATTTGGCCATTTTCGAAATTTTAGAGTTAATAGTGAAAATCGGACCTATGCCACCTTTATAAGAGTATTTTACTCAATTCTTACACAAAATTTAAAGAAAAAAATTTTTCAGCCATTTTTGCGAATATCCCAGGAGCTTCATGTGAAGTCAACTTTAAAGAAAGATTTTCAAAATTGCAAAGCTTCGACTCGAGCCAGAACGATCGGGGAATATTTGGTTCGGGAAAAAACCCGCGTATGGTTTAGGCGCAAGTGTTTAGCGACAGATGTATAATAGGATTGTATAATAAGGCGTTTGTGCACCCTGGAACGTTAAAGCAATATCGATCTTCTGCGTTTGCGCAGTTAAAGTTTATCACTTTAGCGCTCCTGCAAAGAAGATCGACAGTGCTGTCCGCTCTGGCGTGCACAAACTTCTCTCTCTATTCTCTTCAAAAATATTTCGCCGTAGATCCGTTTATGAAGACCCTCCCTATGACGAAAGACGATGAATATTAAAGAAGCGCGTATCGCGCCGGTAGCCGGGTTCAAATCGAGCATGAAGGGCGAATGTGGAGTCGGGTCGCTGCGCGAGGTCACCGTCGTCGAAGCGGAAGCGGCGGCGCCAGGTGGGGGCGAGGGCGAGGACGAGGACGGCGCGGCGGACGGCGGACGGCGGACGGCGGACGGCGGACGAGCCGGCGGAAGTGACGCGCGGCCAATGAATATTTCCAGTCCGACGGCTCGGCGCGCCCGCCCCGGCGCCTTCGGACGACGTGCGTCAGCGTCTCTTGACACGTAGTTTTTTAGGGGGTGGAGAATTGCGAACAAATCTGGAATTTTATTTAACCATGGTCCCCAATCGGAGATCTCAGATCTTCATCGTTGTTGTGTGACCTTGTGTAATTTGCGAAATTCTTCAGTACACGTAGATATTCTAAACGAAACAGATAAGCAAGTTTGTTTTGTTTTTTCGTTCCTTAGTACTGGATGTCGATTTAGCCGTGATCGCAAGTCATTGTATGATCCTAGCCAGAGTGTCCTACGTCGGTTCGAATCATCTAAAACCGTGCTTAGCTGCTCTATGCCTGTGGTTAAGTGGGTGGGAGAAATTAGTGTAAAGCAAAGTGCGGTTGGTACGTACCGAAGTTGTTGCAGCTAAGTTCTAATGGTTTTGCTTCTTTAGAGAAAATGCTCATATAACCACTGTGTGCCTTTGGAGTGCTGTTCCCAATTATTTAGCAACACCACAATTGGTTAGCACTAAAAATTGCAAAAACATACTGCCAGAGAATAATCTTGTTTTCTTATTAATAACTTAAGTTTCAGAAGCCAACGCGACAAAATAAAATTGATCCATATATAAAGTTGTCACAGCTGTTCATGAATTCAGAACTACAATCTGACAATCTTAGGACGGCGGGCACGGAGTCAATGAACCGCAGCGCTAGTGAGCATTGTGCTTGTTGCTCCTTATTCGTTAGATATTAACTTCAGACTCGCGGAGAATTCCTCCATCTAGCAGTTAATTCGGAAGAGATATCTTACTATTCCTTTCCCATGCATTATCGAGTTTTGGATTGATAAAGGACGACAACATATGTCTGCTTACACCATCCCATCGTTTCACAGTCTTAGTGTTATTAAAGAATAATTATAATTGTTATATATGTTACCTGTAACTGACTTTATCGAAATGAAATGAGAATTACATTACTGGATGTACTTATAGTATTGGAGGGGGTACGTGTCTCCCGTTCGCTCCCGCAATAGTAGCCCGCGGAATTGTTCGCTCGGGGGGAGCGGAGGGAGGAAGGGCTTCTTTATATTTTTTTCTGGTTGTAATTACCAAAGTAAAATACTTGCTTTTCTGTTTGAAGAAAATGTGTAATTTTTAGGTTGATAATAATGAGATAATTTATTAAATCGATTTTAAACTATGCAGACTTTTAAGCTATGCGAAAACAATCCAAATCGGTGTCAGGAGAAACTCTAACTGCCCTCGTCTGTGTTAATCGCCCATATCTCTCAGCGTTTCAGTGGCCAGAATGGAAACGTTTTTTAATGGAGGGCTGAGTAGGATCTCCCTGGAAGGGCAGTAAATACTCATTTTCACGACGAGAAGAGACAATGGGCTCTTATGGACGATGTTATTCTTATGGAAGAATCTCGAGCACTTTTGTCAAATGGGTTGTTGCGAGAGTAAGTAGAAAAATGTAGTCCTGTACAGAAAATTACGAGGAACGCGGTGGTAATCATGAAAATATGCAATTCAGTCCCTTTTTACTTTCTCGCACTTCGTAAGAAGAGAAAGTGATGTGTGCTGGAAACGGCGAAATTTCGGCAGAAAATCCCTTATTGCAGCGTCCTGGTAGTGTGATAAGTGGATAAATCCTGCCGCTACATATACGAAAGTAGTGGACCCGGCAATGGTTGCCATTGCAATTTATTACACTTCACACGGTACTGGTCACGTGATTGTTAATCACGTTTTAACGTGGTTGTCAAGTATCCTATTGTTTAAATGTTCTCTCTCACGTTTAGGCATGCATTTGCTATGACACTGGTCTTAGATAAATTTTATTTACTTGACCGAGATATAATTCTAGCTGACATTTCACAACCACAGAGGCAGAATATGCAGCGAAGGCACTCTTAATACTTGAGGGTGCGGCAGGTTGCAGAGTTCAGGGGTGATTGATTCAGCATACTCATAAAAATTATCAACGCCTGCCGATGTGCAACAGACACAGGTACATTCCCATTGTACTACTCCTATAGTCTTCACGGAAATGCAAGTAATAAGTTGACAAGGTTTTATCGCAATCAGACACGGCAGCGCATAAAATACGAACAAACAAATGTCGATTTTTATGTATTAGATTACTTTCTCTAACTCGTGGTGTAGCCAGAATCCGTGTTTTGTGGGTCCTTGATACCGAAAAATCGACTGTTGGCCAAAGGCACTTGTCCTCTCTCGTCTGGTTTACTGCAATATTGTTTATGGATCAGCGGCTTCCTTCACTCGGAGGCCTCTTAATAGTATTCATCACTCAGGTATCCGAACCTCCACAGGTGCATACCGGTCTACCGGCATTTACTGTATTCTGGGTGAAGCCGGTGAGTCTTTTGCTGCGAAAGTCGGGGGGTGTTGACCCATCCATCCCACCGAACTACAATCGAGCCTTGATATACTTCATACATTCTCTGAACATCGCCTCCTGATTTTCGATCTTTAAATCTATTGCAAGATCATGATATCTCCCTTCTTATTCCCATGAAAATCCCAAGCAACCCTCCCTTGGAAACTCCTTCGTCACAACATTGACTTTAAAGTCATCAACCTGCCCAAACTGATTACTCGTCTCCTTAAATTTAACATTTAGTTTCGCGGCAGCATATTCTGATCATACATTTATTCATCGATGCCTCATCTTTCAATAACGCAACGGCATGCATTATTGAAAGATGAGGCATTATGCCATCATTGCTTTAGGGTCACCAAGTCATTTTGCATACTCTCTGTGCAGTGTTTTCACTACTAAAATGAAAGCAGTCCTCGAAACCCTTAAATACATCGAATCAGTGTCATTGCGGTAAGTAGTTCTCTGCTCTGATTCACTGAGGTCTCTTGAAGCCATCTCTCTCCCCAATTGTTAATAGCAACAATTCAACAACTGATTAATCGCTTATTGTTCTGCAAGGGTGATCTAGTTCTTTGTTGGATCCCAGATCCTGTGAGAATTACTGGCAATGAATTAGCTGACCAGGCTGCGAAATGAGCAACTAGAAAGTCTGATATTAGCATTTGTACTGTCCCATCAGAGGTACGGACATACCTAAAACATTCCCATTTTCAGTGCTTCGCAGTGGCACATTGCCACTTTAAATTAAGCTCGATTAAGAAATGCGTAAAGCCCTCATATTTCTCATCCTTTGCCACTAGTCGTGAGGAAGTAATTTTAGCGTGTCTTCGCATCGACCATTGTCACTTTTGGCATGGTTTTCTCCTTCCCCACACCTTCAGCTCACGTTCCACGGTTGTTGGTCTTACATGTTCGTCTACATTTTGTAAAATTTAATGGCAGCCGACACATGTAATGCGAAGATTTAAATTCAATAAATTGATGTATAGACGGTCGTGAATGTCCAGTCCAATGTCTGTCCGCGCAGCGACCCAATAAAATTAAATTAGCTTTCTTTGAATTGCAGAATACGAATTGCTCCCGTCAGTAAATGTTTACAATATGAGTATCGTATTTGTCGTGGACGAAATAGCAAAGGTTTTGGGTATAGAAGGAAAGTACAGCAGAAGATATGCAGAGATGGTTGTTAAGCGAAAGTTCAACATGTTTTGTGTGAGCAGTTCAAATTGGAAGATATAGACATTAATTAGAAAGTATACAAATTCATTCTGGTAAACAAACCATTTAAAAAAACAAGTTCTTAAACACGTTGCCTCCCACATAAACACTTTCTAGTGCATTTGAAGGAAAGTTACGCACGCCTTGATGTCTGGGTTGAACACTGGCAACAACAGCACCCGTATACCAAATTATATTTGTCTCTTTCTTGTCTGGCTGCAACCTCCGATACGAGATGATTCCAGAAGAAATGCCACATGCAGTAATGCTCGGCAGGAAAGCCCAGCTCGGTGCTCTGTTATAGTGAAGTAGGTGCTTTTAAGATACTTCATAATTATAAAAAAAATATTTTCAGGACTAACAATGGAGATGAGATATTGCGAGAAGGGATGTTTTGTCTAGTTATGACTCCTTTGATGAAGTTAGGAGGGCTATGAATCATCAGACAACAATCAGACACGTTGGTATGCTTGACAACTTACCTGAAAAACGGTTTAATGCTGTGACCCCAGAATTGTATGAAGGACGGAAATATCGATCAAAAAGTACAGATGAGTCGTTTCATTCCCTATAGTTCATTATCGTTTTACGGCAAACGGCCAACAGCGTACAAGATATTATCGGAAGTGAAAGTTGCGTTTGCCTACCAGTAAAGGCTGCAGGACAAACTCCTTGTTATTTATAAGAATCATCGTGGCAAGTAATTGACACATTCAAAAAGCAAGTAGGGGGATGAGAAAAAGAGCAGCTCATATTTCGGAATGCAAAGCCTGAAAAAAGGACTGTTTTTCAGTGAGAGTTAAGTAACAATAATAATACTCGTACCTTGAGCTATTTGAGTCAATGTGTGATGAATATTTCAGCAAGTTCTTTGTGGAAACTGTGATATGTGGCGGCTGCGCATAAGCGCGCGGCGCCACCCCACTCAAAGGAAGAAGCCTGCGAAGGCGTTGGATCTCGACTCAACGACCTGCTGTTGTGAGCGAGCGATTGTGATATTCTCCGTAGCGTGTTGCAGCCTTTAGCGATACTCATGTAATTAGTGTTATTTTAATACGGATAGTGAGAAGGGATAGAAAAGTTTTTAAATTGTTGATTTTCTTCCCTTTCGTATGAATAAAAGAAACGAGTAATGAGCGGCCATGATCTAACCTAACAACATTTCAGGATTTAATGTGTAAAAGGGCAAACGAAGAATGGGAAAAACGTCGAGCATGTATTTTTAAATGCTTTATAATGGTTATTCGAAACTTGACATTAGAAACTACAACACTCTCATTGTTATTTTGCGACTATCTTTCCCTCATCCTTCCAATATTATAATTTAATATAAATTAGGTTTTTTGTTTAATTATTCAGTTCTACTCCAAATACGAATGCGGAAAGAGATGTGTGGGGGTTAACACTTGCCTTCACGCTAACGTCCTACGTCCAGAATGGAAAGTTGCCACTGTTCTCATCTGGTGCTCATCACATTCGATTGCTGGTTACAAGACGAATCGATAGGCTATATTTTAAGGCGGTTCTTTCTGGAATATTCTGGAAGAATTCTAGAACAAAAAACGTATTGGAGAGGGGGACGTTCAAAGGCATCTACAGTGCCGAAACGTTTTGCACGATGCCTACACTCCCTTTCCGGCTCAACGTTAATCCTTAGGGGATGCTTTGTGGGGCTGTTACAGTGACGATGGTTTTTCATCATGTTGGCGATAGGTAACCCTACTAATAATGAACAGAAGCACTATTTTTTTTTTTTAAATTTCTATCAATACTTCATGTAACTTTTTTTTCTGAAGATAACTTTTAGACAATTTTCTTGTCTTTACTTTCTCGCGTTTAAGAAGGCACTTCTTAAGAAGAAAAGGTTATGTAATGATGCGCGAAAAAATGGCGAATTTTCAGCGGAAAAACTCTTAAAACAGAGCCTGGCAACGAAAAGGTGGATAAATTCAGTTAAATTTTTGAAAACAAAGTCCTCTAACACGTGGTGTAGCCAAAATCCATTTTTTATGGGTCCTTGATACCGAAGAATCGATTGAGTGCAAATCGCCTGTCTGTGTCCGACTGTGGTCAACGCTAGCGGATAAGTCGTTCAGCCGATTAAATTCCTTAATCGATCTGATTGATGTTGCGGCCCCTTGAAGTCGAAACCGATATTTTAATTTTGGGGGAAACTTTACATGAAAACCCTGGGACATTTTCAAAAAATGGCGCCATCGATTTTGTTGTTATGTTGTTGGATAGTCTGAAGTACATTTAAGAGAATGTCATAAGCCATGAAAACTATGGTTCTTGGAAAATTGAAAACATTCAATTTTTTACGTGTATTACGTCACAATTAAAATATTAAACATGGAGATTTTTCCCCTTGATAAAATCTGTTACTTAAAGATTGATTTTGAAACAGGTCATGAACAATTTTTCGAAAATTGGTGTATTTTGCACGAAATTTTGTTTACTTTTAGGCAATTTTAAATTTTGTTTACTTTTAGGCAATTTTAAATTTTGTTTACATTTTTTCAAAAACGGCTTCATCGATTCTGATGATTTTTGTTTTGTGGATAGATTGAGAGGCGTAGGTCTCGTGTTGGTTAAAAATCCTCATTTTTCGACAATTGAAAAAATTCAAAATTATTTTGTCGTCTTCCTTCAACTACAATTATGAAAGTACAATTTTTTCTTATTGAAATGTGTTCATGAAACACAATCTAAAAATAACAGTATCAAAAACAGATTTTTAAAAAAGGTCATGTTGAATTTTTCGAAAATATGAGTATTTTTGGAGAAATTGGGCGCCAACGTTAGTAGCTCACTCTGAATATCCCGCGCCTCTTATTTGAAATTTTAGGTGTTTTGAAACGGCTGGATGCTACGTAAGTTACAATATGCTTATTATTTCATATTTCTTTGTTCGTTTCTGACGTTGAAGTTTTTGTCATACGTTTAAAAATTAATCGTTTAGAAATTATTTAAAAACTATTTGAAATATGAAATAATGATTACTAGCCTTCAGTCGCCCGATCCCAATTTACGAAGTTGGATGCTACGTAAGTTTGAATTATTTCATATTTCATTTCATTATTATTTATTATATATTTATGTTACTTTATTTCAAATTGCGTCCTGTAATTGTGTTAAATGTGAAAACGAATAAAAGAACGGTCATTGTTGGTTGTTGTTGCCCATTGCTGTAACGCTGTACATATAACAGAAGGCGATAATGACTGTTGCCTTTCCTTGCTGGTAATAAAAACTATTACTTTTTTTTTTTTTTTTTTTTTTTTGGTAGAATAATACAATTCGATAGTGTTTAATAATTACTATTAAATATTTTTCGATCTATTTTCATTTGTTTGCCAACGCTATCAGTATTGTATTATTTATTAACTTTTAATGATTTTACTTTCTCATATACTGCTTATTTTTCGCACCAAATGTCCTACGATTTCAAATGATTATAACCAAAAATAATCCGGAGAGAAATTATGGAGTATGGTGTAAATAGTATTAAATAACCATTACTAATGACAAGAAAGTACCTGCTGTTTTAGCACCACCAGTTTCAATTTCTATTAATGTGGACTTGTTGATAATTTGTATGTGCTATGCAAGAACGTACCGCCGGAGGAGGCGCCAGGTTAAGTTAAGATATATTATGTTGTTTGCAAATACAGGACGGAGCGCGGTAAATTGTGTGTAAATTGTTTAGAATTTACGCATTAGCAGCGATATTGGTCGAAGAGTGGGGAGAGTGGGCGTGCTTTACAGTGACCGATGGGGGTTTGTATTCATCTACTGTTTAGTTCCCATAATACAGTGGACTCGTCAGGAGCACTCTTTTTGTGTTGAAGTGTATTTCTCGAATCCTCACTCGATCATTACAGTGCTGCGTGATTTTCGTTTACGATTTGCAGTTCCCTCACGCGGACGTGTTCCTGGACGGAAATCAATTGCAAATTGGGTAAATGCATTTAGAACAACAGGGGATGTGTCATCTGTGCGAAGAGGGCCTGAGAGAAGCTTTACAACACCAACAAATGTCGAACGAGTTAGAGCAGCAGTACTGCAATCGCTGCACTGCAATGATCGTATGTACCGAAACGCCCAGCTCGGAAGCAAGCACTTGCTCTTCGCATTTGAAGACGTTCTCTGCACAGGATTCTTCATAATGAAGTGAATTTTCACCCGTATAAAATGTCCGTTGTCCAGCTTTGTCAGTGCGGGTTTATGTAACACGAAGAACGTCTTATGAAGACATGCTTGCAACCGTACCCCGTGGCTCTAATCTGTTCTTTTCTGATGAATAGGAGGCGGATTTTTAATGAAATGTCCGTTTTCTTTTCACTTTAGAAAAATGTCGTATAGTATAGAACTTCATTTTATATTACGTTAAAAGGAAATGACCCATTTCTGGAAGTAGTGTTTCAGCGTTTTCCGTCATTTTTAATGCATTTTTCGCTGATCTCGATTTTAATGCTTGCTTCAAGTAATATTTACGAGATGCAACTAATGTTCTCCATAAACTTCCTGCCTATATACCTAGTAGACTAAGTGCCTAGTACCGCATTCGATTTCTTCGCTCAGAAGTTGTAATGTCAGCTATTGTGAGTATGTCCTGTGAAGCCTGTCGCGCCATTGGTGGTTCAGCCGATTTCGGGATAACTAAAGATAGAGATTCCCTGGTAAAGAACAGTTCAAACCAAACGTTTGAAAGCTGAGAATACTTGAACGAATAGAAGAAGCCTGGATTACATCAATAACATATCCAACAGCTTTAGTTGTTCATCCGAACTGGTTTTGATCATTTTTCGTCATTTTTCTTTGGTTTTAGAGCTTTTTAAAACATTTTAAGAGCTTTTTATTGATCAATTTTGGCGATGTTGTAAGTCATCAAAATCCGCCCCCTACTGATGCACATTTTCACGTGTGTGGATGTGTAAACAAACAGAATATGCAGTACTGGAGCGAAACAAACCTCAGGGAAATTCACCAGATACCCCTGTACTCAGACCGCGTCACTTTGGTGCTCCATAGAACAAATAGGCATCAGCGTTTGTTTTTTTAATAGGAAAATCGTCTTACTGTTACTGTGAATTTGAATCGTTACTGAACTATGCTGCAAGATTTTTTCGAGCCATTTCTTTCAAGGTAATGCAATTACAGAATACCTGGTTTCAACAAGACAACATGGCACACACAGCGGGCATTACCATGATTTTTTTAGGCAAAAGTTTCCTGGAAGGCTTATCTCTCGGATGGGGGATCTCAAATGGTCCGCACGCTCACCGGATTTTGCTCCATGCGATTTTTTTCTTTGGGGTTAGCTAAAGTGGAAGGTGTATTGCAACCGTCCCAACACCCTGAAAGACATTCAGGACAATATTGAGGCTGAAATTGCAAGAATACGAGAAGACGTGCTTGAAAGAATGCAAGAGAATTTCAGAAAACCACTGCAATAGGGTGTGGATTGTGAAGATTGGCATTTGCCATATACCCTGTTTAAGACCATGTAATTAGAATCTTCCATTATTGTCAAATATGAGAAAAATAAAAATTTAATTATCTAAGGGTTCATTATTTTTTTTAAATTTCATTCCCAAATTAGCAATTTACCGCGCTCCACTCTGTATTTCACTGGCATGCGAGAAAGCTTGTACTTTGATTTTTCTTATCCCCTCTTTTCTTCCAGTTTATGTACGCCTTTTTTCTCTATGTTTATAAACTTCACAGCCCTGAATAGGATTTTTATCTTCTGAAATTTGTGCGATTAATATATTTTCTGTTACATCTAGTGGCGTTTCACTTTGTGAAATTTGTGTTTTGCTTTTGTCCGCCCTTCAGGAATGTATTTGAACTGTATTTTTTCTGTTGCAGGTGACATCACTCAAAAGGGCTATGAGAAGAAAAGGACCCGTCTCCTTGCACCCTACGCGCCCAAACAGGCTCAAGGTATGTATCTACGTACTCATTATAAGCACATGCCGAATTTCTGTATTAAAGTGAGCTTCATGGAGTTATTCTAGTTGGAATTTTCGTGTGGACATTCCGCACTTCGTAGATTATTCTTTTAAAAGTGAAAATGGCTTTATTCTGGAATTCCGGTATTTCAAGTATTGGGTCAATGACATCCATCGTGGTATATTTTTAACAATTATACTTGATCCATTAAGCACATACTGATATGGCACATTTTTACTAAATAAATATTCCCGGTAAACATTCAAATATTTGCTAAGCTTTATTAACAAAGACAGACTCGTGCATTTAAACTCGACAGTTTATAAAATAGTCAATTTATTGTTAGTTCGATTTCGAGTTTCTACTAGTTTCTCGTCGCTCATGCTACTCTGAGAGTACCCATAAGTGAGTTTTGTAGATTATGGCATTAGAGACATGTGAAACCGGGCATAGGGCGTGAAGTTCGTTTGTTTGCAAGTTCTGGCCGATGGTTACGCGTCCTGCGAATTGCAGCCTTCTGTATTCATTAAAACAATTATCAATCCGTTTTCTTCGTCTAGTTTTATTAAAATAATCAAAGCTGATAAAATTGTACATTTTTCATCTGATATGTTTGATGGCCTTTCGGGGATAATTCTCTGTAGCGCAGGTTTCTTGTAGACTTGTAAATCGTACAAAATTGATAATTGCGATCTCCCCGGCTAATGTTGGTATCAAGCCCTCGCTATAGTAACGTGATTGTTCGAGTGTGTGGCGTCTTTTCTGTTAACGGGAAGTATGTCAGCATAAAAATTATTTGGAAATAGAGTTGAGCCGCCTCAAGCTAGTTTGATGTAAATTCCAATGGCTGGAGCCTCCTCGCTAACTCGGATGTGCTAAGCGTACATTGAGAGAGATACTATACTTACAGTGCGATTTATTTACAGCTGCCTTTGACAGGTCATCAGCTGACACGGTCTCATCCAATCGGGAGCTTACACGTCACAAAAGTGACGTCACTATGGTGGTATTCAACCTTCTGATTAGATGTCACCATAACTGCTGATTTACGTCAGCGGCAACTCTAAATAAATCCAAGTGTAGACAAGGGCGACGTGTGCTGGTTCCTTGGATAAAATAACCTCTTATGCACTGTTGCGTTAATTTATTTTATAGTAAAGTAAATATGATTTATTACTCTCTGCGTTTGGACTCACAGTTCCCTCACCTAAACATCGCGTCTGCGTTCATTCTGCATTTTGAACGCTCTGAGCGACATTTTTTGGGGGCGGGTGATTTGGACGGCATGGAGAGGGCAAACAAGCGATCGGACATAAGCAAGAGGAACCGGGGCCTTTTGTAATCTGTGCCATTTTCTTTCGAAAACGATTCCTGCTGAATAAGTTTTATTCCAGGGATATTTGGTAGAGCGATGAAATGTATGAGCAGATGTGTATCGATGCATGATCTGAAGAATAGGCGACAACGTACGTAGCTGCTTTTTTGTGACTCTTTTCATATCTTCATTACAATCATTGCTACAAATGAAATTTGTATGTAAGATAATGCCTTTGCCGTTTTCGGAATATTACTATAGTGGAACAAAATTAGTGTGATATAACTGGCAGAGAGCGTTAGGAACTCTGAGACACAGATCCGGAAACTAGATCAGGATAAACAAACTTCAGTTCAGACATCCTCCTCATATGTTTTTGTAATGATAAAAACAACAAAAAATTGTTACCTTAAAATAAAAGTAGTGGTGATAAATCACATACGTACTTGCATTATTTCTCACTTTTGCAATTTTCGAAAATTCAAAACGTTCAACCAACAAATGGGACCTGCGCCACTTTTCAGACGTTCTTTGCTCATCCGGGGGGAGGAGATTAAAGGGGGGGAATGGAGCTGTTTTTGAGAATTGATTTTATTAATTGCACGAACTTCAAGCATTCCTTAAAAAAATGTAAATGACCTCTTCTAAAGAGCCGATTTTTAGAACAGATTTAATTTAAGACTAAAATCTCTATTTTCAATTTTGTAGTTTTCCAGTATTGTAGTTGTAGGAAAACGCCGGAGAATTTTCAAACTTTTGCAATTTTCAAAAATTCATGGATTTCAAAAAAATTAAGACGTGTCATATTTTAAGCTTTTATTATGCTGTTCGAGGACAAAGTAGAATAAAACTAGCGGTGCTTCAGAACGTCACATACTTTCCCGTATTAATTTTCTATTTCTTTTGGTTTCGCCACGCTATTCAGACTTGGCACATACTCTTGCTAGCTGCCATCTATCGCCGCCTAAAGTACTTTTTTTTTAAAATATTAATTTTTCGGTTTCCTAATAGAATAGAAATATTATTTTAAGAATATTAAAGAACAGTAAAACCTCGTTCTAAATTACAATTTTCTTTGATACATTTGAACAGTTTTTAAGCAAATGGCGTGTAAGCGCTACTGTAAATTCGAAATTTGAACCTCTTTACAGAGAAAACTATTGTTTTCGAAAACCTTCACTTGAAGTCATTTGAGTACATTTAGCGGCACCCTTACCAAAAGTTTAAAGACAATATTTGGAGCCATTTTGGAGAATATCTTGTTTTTATTATTTTTTATTGAAAATATTGCACGCAATATTGCGCGAAAAATACTAAATTTTCAAAAAAATGTACAAGACATTAATGAAAGAATTCACTACGGAAAAGAAATTTTATTTGAAGGAAAAATCTCTAGCTTCAATTTTGTGGTTGTAGGAAGATGGCCAAAAAATTTTGAAATTTTCGTAAAAATTCAGAATATTGGACCTATGTCACCTTTATAAGTGTTTTTTATTTTTAATAATTATTATAAGTCTATTTTTACGAGAAATTTAAAGATAAAATTTGAAGCAGTTTTTGAGAAAATTTTGTAAATGTCCCAGGAGCTTCATGTAAATTATTCTGAAATTTTATTATCTATATTAATTATAGAAAGAATGCTTTGGATGTGTTGCGATCCTGATATGGTATTGTTTTGCATAAACCGAGTAAAATTACTTTTTAAAAAAATGGAACACCAACTTGCGTTGCCACCCCACTTCATCCACCTCTGGTGAACCCCTTCTCTTCGGAGCACATGCCGCCATTGCAATGAGGTTAGTTTAAATGGTATCGTGTCAATAGAAATGTAAATAATTGTCTTCATTTGTAAGTAGAAATTTTCAACTTAGCTCACCTATCCCAACCACCTTGTGTTGGATAATGTGCACTTCTTCAGTCTAAATTCCCAAGAACGCTGTTCCTACTGGGAAGTTCATGCTCCCATTTTGGATTATGTGAACATTAACTGGCGAATTCGCTAATAACCTAGATTCACTCTTTTTCTCTAGCATGCAGACATTCAGCACATTTTCTTTAAACTTAAATGTGCTTCGCCATAAAACCCTCAGATTCGGAATAAGTTATTTCGCGAAGATATCGAAATAAAATAAAATTTGTCTTCAATAAGCTAAATTCTTTAAAATATATACTTGGTAAAATTTAAAAAATCATTTCTGTCAAATTTGTACGTCTACGGCATTAGTCGCGATATTTTCCGTCTCCCTCAACTATCTGTGTTCTGATGCCAACACAATCGCGCACCTCAACCGAGAAGCCCAAGGTCCCGAACTGAATCGGCCTCCCATGGAACATTGGTTGTACATGTTCAGTTGATTATTTACTATTGTGCATATGTGTGGGTTATTGAATTGTAAATGAAAAGCGACACAAAGCGACTAGTGAATGATTATCACGGCGGAAAAAAATATGCTATGCGAGTCTTTGCTTGAGCCGATTGTGGTGGGGATTTTCTTTGCCAGTTTTGTAATGTTGGGATTACAAAGGGATCTGTTGGATTTTGCGGTAAAGGCGAGATGAGAGGAAAAAGTAGATCCTAACAATGCCGAGTGCATTATGTTGTTGGGAATTTGACACACAGCAGGGTGCTTGTGAAAAGGTTCGGAGGAATTTGCTTGAGAAAATCTGCATTTTGGTATAGGTGTTGCCTTTTGGGAGGGGGGATGCGAAGCTGCTCACGAATTCGACTGGTGGCCGGTGCCATTCTGTGTAGGATATAAAGTATGCTGTCGAGTAACCAGTACACCATGATACTTGACTGGTTTGTGGCATGGGAGTCAAGGAATACTTTTTCCTTGATAGTTGAGGAGATGTGGGTCTGCGGAGCGTGAACGTTTTTGCTTGACCTTTTGATGGATTTATTTAGATGCACCGTTTTTTGCGCAGTCGGAATATTGAAAGAGGTGATGATGTTTATATTGTTTTGCTGATATCTGTATCAGTTTGAGAAGCGTACTGCTGTTCATCGGCGTACAATGCTATAGTATATGGAGGTGACATACCGATTCTATAAATCTTATAATCTAGGTGAGACAACGGATCCTACAGGTACTATTGCTTTTTGGTGGTTTTGAAAGTTCCATATCATATAAATTGTACAGATAATATTGAATGTTTTAGAAAAAGAAATACGACTTTAATGCGCGGCCAGATATATACTACTAACCACTAGAAGGCAAATGATGGTTAGTTTACAGTGGAAGTGTCAAAAATTTGCATGAATATTTTAATTTGTGTGTGGCCATTACTGCATAGTATACTGTACTTCGCAAAATGGCTGGAAGTTCTTTTAATTTTTAATTAATGATGCATTATTGTGGTATAATACGGTATTGAAAATTGTATACGCTTAGTACGAACACTTTCAGACAGTTTACTACTATGTAAAAGGTAATAAAGAAACATAAATGTAAACTCCCCCATCATTTTAAGCAATGAACGAAATGAGGATCTCTAATGTTTCCTTTTTGAGATCCCCGAGGAATTATTTAAGCGATAATAAAAACTTTAAAACGACTTTTTCAGGAGAAAGTACTAGTAGTTTTAAGAATTTAAAGAACAAACTTCTTCGAAACAGTTAGGAGACGTCTCTACTATATGGTACACTGCATTTTACTTCATCAAGCTTGAGGTTCACTTATTTTTTTACGAGTTCATCTCGACCGCTCAACCCAATTTCTATTCATTATCACGGACTGGCCTACCAGTACCTAATTTTCGTCGTATTTAAAAACCTTACGGATCTCTCGTATTCAATTCTGTAGAACGCGTTTCAAGACAAGCCTTCGATATTTTAAACACGTTTTATGTACAACAATATTGCACTATTCAATTTATGTTGCAAGTTATTTCTCACTCTTATACACAATTTCAAAGATTTGATAAAGTGTGCATTTTCTTCTATATCTTGCGGATTGAAATTTGAAAATTTTTCGTTCTATTGTCAGTGCATCTTGAATCATTTATTTATGGTAATAGTGATAGTGGTTACACATTTTGAGTAATAAATTCGGGTTCCTCGCATTTTTGTCGCATGGAAACGCTGCGAAGCATTAAAAATAGTTGCATATGTGTAACAGGGTACATTAGCTTCGTATTTTCCCATGATGTTTATTTGAATGATCTGCTTTCGATGGTTTGGTCATCATCGATAGTTGTCACAATCTAATAGAACTGACGTTGATAGCCAAACCATCGAAAGCTGATCATTCAAATAAACATCATCGAAAAAGAAATACCTGTCTCTTGCGGAATAATATTTACTCGATTATTACCTATTCCACAAATTCGTACAATGGCAATGTAACAAGAAATTGCGTTCTTTTGATATCTGTGTTCTATGGAAACGTGGTGAGACGGACTTATTTACTTCCATTGTTATGGGCCATGGGTTTGAATAAATGCAGCGTTGGCGAGAAGAGAGTGTTCCCGAGTGTGAATACGCAAGGCAAGACAGGAGCGTTGTCTCCAACACAATTAGCTTCCATTCTCAAGTTAGAACGACTTTGCCATTCAACCATCGTCGGTACATTTCATTGCATGACGTCTTTCAACATTTAATTTATAGACATATCTTCGTGCTATGAAAGTTTGTTATTTTCCCGGTGAAACACGTTCAAGGCTTATAAAGTACATGAATACTTAATTCGAGTATAAGTGTAAATATTTAACTCGGGGTTTCACAAACATATCATGTGAGAGGAAGAAAAAAATATTTCAAATATTTAATTTTTCCATTTCAATGTTAAAATTAGAAGAGTTGAAATGTAAGTAAGATCACTGCATATGCGTGATTACGCAATGTTATATGTTGAAACTACACCATAAAATATTATACATTAACAGACATTTAGTCTAACACTTGTGGGAATCAAAGGTCGCTCTTAATTACGCGCGTAAGCATAGTGTAAGTGGAGATAACTGTGAGAAGGGACCGCTTTGACAGGTACTGCTTGGTTCCTGCTGGCAACAAAACTGAAGATTATGCCCAGGCGCTCAATTCGTGAATTTGTACGTTTGGTCTTTTGTAAATGACTTCGACAGTTCCTCTTACAATGCCATCATCCCACAAGACATTCTTTTGTTTCGCATGCTGTCGAACTGGTGCCTTGTTAGAGTTACTTCTCTATATCAGCGTATGGAACGGAAGAGACGCATTTATTGACAAGAATAGTAATTCAGCTGTTCTAGAGTTATGACTGTATACATTACTGTGATATTAAACTGAATAAATAGTTGGATACCAGTTGCTACGTATTAATGTTGATGTAGAATAATATATTCAATTCACTAGTTGTTTATCTTAACCCGAGGACTTAATGATGTGAATTATGTTTTGTAGAAAAGTAGCAAAATAATTTGCTTTACATAAAGATCTGCCGTTTTGCTTGAACCGAAATTACAAAACGGTGCACGATACTCTCGCTAGTTAAAAGTTTCTAATTAAGAGTTAATGTTATGCATTGCTCAGTTGCTCCAAGCAACAGCGCAGACACCGCCGAATGCGGCCGAAGCAAGAACTTAACGTTTCGCTTTTCAGGGCGATTTGCCCTACCGCGCAAATAAGTTTCTCTTCAACAATTGCGCGCTGTTTATAAGGCAGATTTTTAGACAGGGAAACGCACATTCGGCAAGAGTTCTTTGGAACAGCTGAAAGGAAGATAGTATCAAAGTTGTCTGTTGGGTGTTGTGGAAGGCCTAGGGCGTTGCTCAGCACGTGAGCAACCGCATCGGACGCCTCGCCCGGAGGCGGAAGGCTCGCGTCCGCCCAACTGCTCGCCGCCGCTGCCGCCTTCGCCAGCCACCCAGCCAACCAGCCAACCAGCCAGCCAGCCAGCCGGCCGGTTCCGGCTCTCACTTAACCCGAGTTGACCCGATGGCGGCCAGTAGCACTGGAGGCTGCGGCGACAAACAGGGAATAGTCTTTGCGACGGACAATGTCGCAGGGAGGCCACTTCATACCCGCCCTGGCCAACGGAGAATCTTTTCCAAATCGATTGTAAACCTATATTTCTGCGTGGTGCATAGTTGTTCTACCTTCCGATCACAGAAAGTTATGTAATCGGTAAGATCCTTATCCTTAGAAGGGACTATAAGAAAATAGACTATAGGTATAGACAAGATTTATTTGATTTCATTTTTGCCACAACAGGCAATGGGATACATGAGCGAAATATTTAGTTGACATTTCTCTTCGGAAAACATCCCTCCCAGATAGAGACTGCTTTGATGGTGAGATCGGTAGACTTGAATGAGTGAAGTAAAGGTTTTTTTTTCTATGTACTGTTCTTTTCTTATAATGTGCTGTTATATAAACATTACGCGACCCATGGAACGGAGAGCCATTCTGTAACTGCTGGCGTCCGGTAAGTTACACGATGTCTTCATCTTGAATATGCAGCCGTGATGGAGATATAAATATTCGCAGACGTCAAACTAAAAATTAGCACTACATTATTTTGGCCAAGCCCCAAACATCGTGTTTCAATATCAAAACTAGAGAATGCTTCCTAAATGCAATCAATTCAATATTTCATCTATATATTTTTTAGGACAGAAGTTTCGAAATATTAGTCGTTTTCGTGTAATTTTGGGAGAAATAGCGACAACGTTCCACAACTTCGTAAACAATATCTAAAAAACTGGTATTTTTTTTCATTTTGTAAAGACAATGCACTGAATTCATTTGCATAATAGAATTCAATAAATTTTCAATCTCTCTGTCACTATCAATATCACAGCTAACTGAGGTATTTTATTCTCAAACAACAACAACAACAATAATAATAATAATAATAATAATAATAATAATAATAAATCGCAATAATAAATAAATATGTCACACATATGTATGTGTGAGTGAGTGAATGTTATTTGGGTTTGTTTTTGTGAAGATAAGTTGAGTTTGGTATATTAAAAAGGTAATTATGTTTTATATAATCGAAAACTGGTGTATGTACGGCGGAAAGCTGAATTCGCCGAATATCATTTCGGAATATTGTTTACGAATAAATAATTGCTAATTATATTAGCAGCATTGTTGAAAATCTGTGTGTATATTTTCAGTGGGTAAGAAAAACCCAATGACAGGAGAAGGAATAAAAGAGAGCTAGGTTGCCAAAGACATATAATATTTTGGTTTCCTGTATAGAGGTGACTTTGCGGATCCACGCCAAAATTATATATGTGTACTGTGATATATTTGTTTATATATGAATAACATTTGTTTATATCTAATTGTATTTCTTATATTTATTGCTAGGGTAGTCTCTCCAACACTTTGAACAGTTTTATAAAGATATTTTCAAATTTAATTATAAGAAATTGTTTAATTACATTGGAAGGATATAGAATCAAATTGTTTGCTGCCAGGAAACAAAAAAGCGTCAAATGACACCTCGCTTGTCTCAAACGGTGAACTTCATGCTCTACCCACTCCACGATTCCGTCTGTCCCCTATTTTTTTTAAATACAGTGATAATAATAATATTAATGATAGTTAATAAAACGAAAGTTGTTAGTTTTCCACCGGCAGATCGAGACGCATTGAATGACTCCTCGCTTGACCCAAATGGAAGTCCCGGGTAGGATTAGAGTATATATATCCAGTGCCGTGACTACATTTAGAAACGCGACCGAACATTAACTTTCGTTATATTAGATAATATTTTACTTATTTTAAATGAAAATATCATTAATTCAGTTATTTGTATCACCCTGTTCTTAAAAATAGGCGCAGCACCTTTTCACGTATGATTTCCTTCTGTAATAGAAGAGGCTGTTAACAATGCTGAGTGCAAGCCCTCTTGTGGTGAAAGGCTGTCTCTTGTGTTGCAGCTGCGCCCTCCGCCGGCCGGCAGCAGCCGCGGGCGCGCCGCACCCAGCGCCGCGTCACCCACAACGAGAAGCGCTACCACTCAGGTACGAGTACTGTCGCGCGCCGCGCCGCGCCCGCCCGCCCGCCTGCCTTGAGCATGTGTCTGGCTGGCTGGCTGCGTCCCGGGTCGGGGCAGCATGCATGTTCTGTGCACGCTGTTCTGTGCAAACGCGGGCACTTTTGTAGGTGGGAGAGCATGAGATGAAAATTGCCAGGGGTGGCCTGCAAATCGCATGCGTTCCACGTTGGTGCATTTATTTTTTAAGACTTAACACAAACCTCCGCATAGTGAATGTACAGATGAGTGAGAGAAATGTCGAAAAACAAAACATTTAATGTTAATATAAGTCAGAATTAACGTTAATAAGGCATCGTAACAAAAATTATTACTTCCCTTCGGTAATATTAATAATTCGGGTATGAGTTGTATACAACAGCATACCTTAAGTCAATGTTTATTATTGCGTTAACATGTTTCTGTTGAAGTTTTTCTAACCATTTTTTTCAATTTATTTACTTTTTCTGTATTCAAATATTATTAAAAAATATTTAAATGAGTGATAAACAATAAAATTTCATTTTTTCAGTTCCCATGCAAGGAAAAAGGGCCGTTATTGAAATGTGTTTGACTTCTCTGGGAAAATGTAAAACAAGATTAATTACTTTGAAATCAGCCTTTATTTGGGAAACGAGCACGAGAGATTTCTTGTGCAGTAATGCTGAATATTTCGAAAATCCTTTAATCAAACGAATCGTTTTCTGAAAGACTTGCTAAAATAGTGTATTATAAATTCCATATCAAAGATTTCACTAAATGATTTACGTTATTAAACACTATTTTAATCATAATATATCTTTGTGAGAGTAAGGTGCAGTTTTCTCTTTGATAATTAGATCTTAATTCGTTTTCTTTCGCAAAGATGGCGTTGCACGCTTCAGCTGTTCATATGAGATCTCACCCTTTAGTGTTTTTAAGAGGCTTTTGCATGATTATTAAGCAATAATGGAAATTGCTGCATGGCTGAGTATAGATTTCTTTGGACTAGTTATCCGTTAAGTATCGTTATCAGTACCTTACGTTAGCGTAATTATAACATTCTTGCAAAGAGTTGTGTATTAAAAAACACAGCGATCCTTTGAAACTAATTTGTCACATTAGTGCGCGAGTAAGGGTTCAATTAAAAGGTTTAATTGAAATTATGAAATCGAGTGTAATATTCTCTGAAGATAATTTTTAAACATTGTTGGCATTTAAATAAATTATGCAGCAAGGGGATTATTTTCATTAGAAATGCGCTATGAAGAAACTCGGATCTGACTTATCAAAAATGCAGCGTAGGTGTTACGAAGGAACGAACTACCAATAGAAACGGGATGCGCTTTTACCCTGAGGGTATATCAAACAAGCACTGAACAAAAGAGGATGAACTGTGACTTCGTTGCAGCACATTCTGGTCATGACGGGGATTTTTTGGCTGCGGGGGAAAATGAGATGTAATTAGCTTTGCAAAGAACGTGCCAATCACGTCGCGGTCGACCGATAGAGCAACACAGAATCATATCAGAGAAGGAACGTGTTGTGCGGTGAGTGGGGTTTGGGTCCGGGAGGCAAACGAACATTGAATTGTGTCATCGGTGCAGCATCCGGCTCTTCAAACGGCTGCGGTCGCGCAAGAGCGGATATTGAATTGAGGTGACCGCCCATTGTGCGGCGGCGCGGCGCGGCGCGGCGCGGCGTAGGTCGCGTGCGTCACTGGGCCTGCGTCGGCTTCCGCGCGCGCTCACCTGTCCCGCCCCTCTGCCCCGCCCCGACCCGACCCGCCCTCTCTTGCGTCCATCCCGCCGCCGACCCGCCTCCTCTGCCGCCTCTTAAAGAATTACCAAATAGAATAAAAAAAAAAAATTTAACAAAAAAAAATTTAAAATATAGAAAAAAAAAGAAAGAAAGACAAAAACTAAAGAAAAAACACACACAAAAAAATAAAAAACAAAAATACCGCTCCACTCCGCCCGCTGCCGACATCGCCCAGCCCGCCTGCCTTCTTCGCCTGCCCCGCTCCCTCGCCCGCCTGACCGACCGACTCCGACCCGACAACCGCCCCCCCGCTTCGCTCCGTCTCGCCCACCGCGCGCCAGGACACGCTGCCTGCCGCCATCTCGCTGGCCGATGCGAGCGACGCGCCGCGCTGATCCGTGCATGCATACGCGAACAGGGCAAGAACGGCGCCCTTGCAGCGGACGAGGATCGCGTGGTTGCGTCGTGTTTGAACGAGCGAGCGAGAGGCTCTTCACGCGCCAAGAAGGGAATAAGTTGCTGGTTCATATGTGCGATGCGCGGAAATTTTGGAATTGAGATTTTGCATCAAGAAAAAGAGTTGGAGAGAGTCTAAGAGAATGGAGTAGATGGTTTATAAGGTATTCGCTGATTGTACGGCTTTTGGAAATGATGTTAAGTACAAGGACCCGCTAATACATATGCATTTCAAAAAAATAATCAAGAAATGTAATGATTCTACTAGATCATAGGCGCGTTCCTGTCTCAGCTTCAGTAAATGTGAAAAAATGGATCATACTCTTGATATTCGTGCTAATATGAGATTTTTGAAATACCCACACACTTGTTTCTGACGTGTAGATACATTACTCGATTGCAGTGTAGTCTTCTGCTAAAACCATGCTTTGGGTCATCCCCTGAGATTGGTGCTTTTGGCGATGTGATAAGCTCCCGCAATGTCCATTAGTAAATGTTTTTATATATTATTGTTTCGTTTTTAATTAACAGGTTACTCTAAGACCTGCGGATAAAAGTGCACAAAATATTAAGTAATTAATTTAATATCTTCCATAGAATTCAAATTTTGTAAGCGTCCAGACCAGTGTACGGAGTGCACCCCCCCCTCCCTCCAATTTTTTTTTTTATTTTTGTTTTTATGAATAATTTCAGGTCAGAAAGGTCTCATTTTGACAGACTTCTGCTAGGCTACATAAAGTTAGACCTGTGTAAACCAGTTTTTTAAGACACGTAGAATGCCGGCTCCGAATGAGTCCGTTCGGGAGAGTTAGGAAAACACATTCGAACGTGTGGCTTGCGGTCCGCATAGTCGGCGTGAAGGCCCGCGTGTTTAAATTGTAAAAAGTTTCAATGGATGTTTAAAAAAAAAGGGTAAAAGTTGATGTGGTGAATAATTTCAAACTGCCAACACCCTAAATTTCCACAAGCGTCCATGATGTTGATATCATTAGCTGTAAGTTGTGATTCGTCCAAAAGAAGTAAATCCCAAAGAATCGTGCTATTATTGCGTGTCTTGTAAGTCTTCTTTTAGAACAGGCATGCTCGTTAATCATGCCCGTAGTTATCTCAATTATCAAAATTAACTTATTCAGGCTCGAATTGATTCACGATTGATATAAAGAAAGCACGTTTGTGGGGACAGGATTTTTGTGTGAAAGAGGTTTCGTCCACGGCGCGACGTGGCGGGTTCCCGCCGCGCAACGGGCGGCGTGGGGTCCGCGGGCGGGTGGTGCGGCGCGCGCCAGCTGCGGCGCCGTGGCGCTTGGCTTTCCGCGCTGCCCGCGCTCCGCAGCGCCTCCCCCCCGCCCGCAGCCCACCCCCCGGGGGGCTGCGTCGCCAGCGCATTTCGATCGCGTTCTGCTGCCCTCGCGAGGGCCCGCCCCTCCCCCTCTCCTCTCCTCTCCTCCGTTCGGGCCTCCCTCATTCACGATTCCCGCTCGGCGCGCCTCCTCCCTCGCCCCCGCCAGGACGCCGCTCTCCGCGCTTCGCAATCCCTATTATGCGCATTGTGCTGCTGGACCTCTTCTCCTTATCGGCTTCTCGTCTCCGTTCCGCGCTCGTTCTGCTGGTGCTCAGCATCTCCGCAGGCGTTGGTTCACGCCGCCTCGCCGGTTTTCTCCCCGCGCGCTCTCCACCGGCCCATTTCACTCCACCCCCCTTCAAGTCTCTTTCACTTGCGCTTCTCATTCATCTTTGCGTCTGCTCTTTTCATTGTACCCGACCGACACTTCCATAATTTAATCTTTTTGCGCACGTCCTAATTGCAATTTGCGGATCACCTTCCAAGCATGCCTCGTACTTCGCCGACCGAGAATTTGTTTGTATTACATCCACAAGCGTCACTTTTGAGATACACGCTTCAAAGCTTTGAAATGCCACTGCATCATTCTGATAAGTATGTCTTGACTTGGCCTTAACTATGCTAGGGATTGTTTTTAACGTCTGTAAAATGCATTCTGAACATTTGGAACTGCACGAAAAAAATATACGAAATTGGAGAAAAGAGAAAAATATGCCTGTATAAAACCGTAGCATCGCAAGACAGAAGAATGTGCAAAATCAAATCGAAATCTTCACAAATTTCTTTCAGTATTTAACTTGCAAGTTTGCAACTTTAAGTTTGCAATCTCTGACTTACATATTCATTCTAACAAATTGCAATATCCAACAGTTCCTTGGATAATAAATGATATCAATAATACTAGCCGTCTATTTTCTTTTATACACCATTATGTTTTTGATTTAGTAACTGAACTGTTTGCATCGTAGGTGTTTCAAGAAAAATATATATCGCAATTTGTGTACGTAATGTTACTTTTAATCGCATTATTACGCTATTTATTTGCAGGACTAACATTCAAATTAGGGATGAGAGCAATCTCATTACAAATGATTTGCATACATGAGTGTACAATTAGGGAAATGAGTTGCCGAGTGATTATGCGAGCTAAAAATGGCTTGGTTTAATCCATTAAAGAATCATAATATTATGTTTTTGTGTAGCAATTGCAATTAACGGTATTAGGAAATGTACTCATTAGTGAAGGTCGGAACAAGCAGTAGACATGCTTGGTCCGGCGTCTGAAATTTACGGAAATATTGTGATAGAAAAATACTATTGGATTGTATAATTGTAAAGTACCTGTAACAAGTATTGTACTTCAGCTTCTGGGCCAATGATCCCCATCTCGATCGGGTGTTCGCCCAGTTTCTCTAATCCTCGAGCAAATGCTGAGATGGCCCCTTGTTGTACATCTGGACATAAATGTAACTCAAATTAACTTCTCCCCGTAGCACGTCACACACAGGTTTTAACTGTTTTTGACGTAAATAAATAAATAATGAAAAGACATTACTTCAAATATTTTCATTCATCTTCTCGTTAATTCTTGTATTTATTAGATTTTCTAAACAAATTCCCTATCTAGGGTATAAAATAGGCTAAGTCAGTATATAGGTTTGGTTGGTGCGACTGCGCAATGTGAAATGCGCTCTCTGGTGTGCAGCGGGCGAACTTTCAGCACTTCAGACAACAGTGGGCGGGAGTGGAGTGGACCGTGCGAACAGGCTCTCATTTGCCTTAACACGATTGAATTCTCTCGCTCTTTGCTCTGGAAAATGTACAGTAGTGGGGATTATGAAAATTGAATTTACGTCGACAGATTTACGCATGATAAAACAATCGCAAAACTCCATTCGCCGTGCTGCTAGTTAATGTTCTTTTTTTACAATCTGAGTGAAAAGGAGTGCACAATAGAGTTAGCAAATTGTAAGAAGTACGTTTTTCGTATTGGAAAATCATTCAATATAACAATATATAAATAATTAAAACTGAATAAAACAAATAATTTGAAGTGGTGTCTTCAGTATTCTTCGTTCTCAATGTCTTGGATCCATGTCACTATAATGACTATCAATAAAGCGTTATAGGTTAGAAGCCAATTGCACAACTTTCACGGAATTAGACGTTCTTTTCCAGAACCATCCATGAATTCTGTGATGTTCTAACCTAAACTATTGAAAACACCCATAAATTGAGGCTCAGAGCTTAAATCATCAATTGCAGAGTCTAATCTTGAGATGAAACAACAAAATATATTGCTCGTAAACCTTAGATAGTCTACTGATAAGTGGTTAGCCTTCCGTTACATTCTACGTGTCATTACTCCCAGTGGAAGAAAGTAGCGGATGCCGGGCATCGTGGCCTCTCGATCTCTTAGAAGGAAATTCCGTGAACTGAAGTATATAGTATCCTAACCGACCAAAACGTATCGCAAAATGGTCGTCTACGAGATTGCATCTTGGTAATTCGGTATTGAATTACGATATTGAAACACGTGTTATTGAATTCCACGAATATCATGGAAGTAAGTAAATCAATGTCTCTGAATGTTTAAATGATTTTTGAAAATTACTCTAGACCACATAACACACATTCACGCATCTAATTCAATAACGTTTGCAATACCGAATTACCAAGATGCAATCGACTACTATGACATACATAGACACATATTCTGAAAGTCTTTAATCGTATGTTAAAGGTCTTTTCTACTGTACCTATAAGTATGTTACAATTTACACTTACTAATGAGAATGAAATACGGATATATTATATCAAAAAGACGGATGTACAAATGTATTTTTCGTCGTTTTAGCTTAGTCTCATTTTACGTACCGTGGACTGTAAAACAATTCTGAAGTTAGTTGTGCTCACGCAAACTGCAAACGCATTGACTAATGAAAGCTTTCCAAAAGTCGTTGTAGTGCGAGTACTCTACTTAACAATTAACTACAATGCTTCCTTGTTTTTTTTAATTTATTTAACGTCAAAATAATTAAAAGCTGTGCCATGCTACGGGGAGAAACACTCAGTGCACAATTTCTTAATTCTGGGATCCCTGCCTTAAGCGATATACAAGTTGTATTCTGAATACAGAAGGAAATGAGTGTTTTTGATGACACTTATTGAATACAGTTGTGACAATGACAGTTACTGAATACTTCGTCTCAAAGTAGAGCTACGATTGAATTATATTTTTATGAAATGTATAGATAAGGATTTAGCAATCCACAAACTGCGTTAGTTTTCTGAGGGTCAAAATGTAATGTATTTTTCAAATGACTTGACGTTCTATTATTTTTCGGTGTGTTCGGATAATTCTGTAACAGTGTAGATGTCAATATCACTTGGTAGGCACCTTGTAAAACAGTAATGTACAGTTGCAATAGGAAGTAAGTTTATGTGGTTGTCACGATTAGGTAGCGTAACATAAAGCGACAAAAGATGCTACAAGGCGAGTCTTTTCGGAAAACTTATTTTGGCATCATAACAGCGGATATTTTGGTTATATTCCATCGAGCTCAAATGAAGAGAATTGTTTGAAAAAACACTCAATATCGGAGACGCCCACAGTGAAAATATGGTGCACGGTGAAAAGTCTTGTGCGTGTCACAGAGGGTGTGTGAGCGCCAAAGTACAGAAATGACGTAATGAAATAAGTACGTGATATTAAAATCAGCTTCTATCTCGTCATGCTCGGCGTGAAAAAGGCAGCGTCTCCGCAGATGACACTCGTGAAAACGAATATAGGTTTCTTTCTACCATATAACGATACTTCGAAGGTTCGTTGAAGTGATGAAGATAGAAGCTGTATTATTAGTACATCATGTTTTCATTATTTCTGATTTAACCCAATACACAGCCCTGCTTCTGTACGGACGGATTTTAAAGAAGTTTCACGTCAAAAGCAATCATGTTAAGAGTTACTAATTATCCTCTCAGAGCGGAAGTAGAAGACGTAATGTTTTTGAATTTCTTCTCTGCATGCTGTGCTTTGAGACACCCTGGAAAACTGAGCCAGTTACCACCAGTTAGAGAGCTGCAGATTTTTGTAAGCGGATATTGTCGACCGCGAAAACTGTTCGGGCGATCGGGCGAGCGGCGGCGACCACCACGCGAGTGTTCCCGCCCCCACCGCGTCCCTCTGCGCCCCGCGTCGCAGCGTGGCAGGCGCGCTGCGCGACCACCCCAA